CGATATAATTTAGGTAAACAAAACGAACAAAACGCATTTTGGCTGCGTTAAGTCAACAGTCAAGTTGACTGGTATGGTCAGACCTTAGAACATATATAGTCAGAAAGGAGCATGCCATATCCGCGTTAATCTAATCGATCTGACGGAACTGGAAGCCATGTTGTACTATGGATGACTCATCATCATATGATAAATGGTTTCTAAAATTGGTTTATAATTTTAGTGATTAAAATTTGTTAATAATTTGGATGTTTTATGTGTTCATTTAAACTTTTATTAAGCGTATGTTTTGTAGACATTTTTAAAAAGTGTTTAGTGTTTTAGTATTTTAGTATTTATTTAGTATTACTGTTAATTTTAAATTTTCCGCGTTAAAAGACAAACAAGACAATATGGTCAGTTGTTCGTCTTGTGGATATAGCAGCACAGCTAAAAGTAGAAACAAATAATCTACATTTTATAAGCAAGTATTTTGTTCTCTCAATTTTCAACCACATTAAAGATTTTTAAAATTTTTAATGTTTTAAATTTGTATACAAACATGGTAAGTGCGTCTGCGATTAACTGTGCTCATAGGCGTAGTCTCATGGTTTATAGGGTATACATACTTTTATTTAAACAATTCTTTTATTCAATTTTAAGATATTTATGTGGTTGTTAAAATGAATAAATTATTGTTCAATTTAGATTTGTAAATTGATTGCAAGTAAACAATGTTTAGATTTCTTAAAGATTCTGATTTACAAATTATATAAATTAATCCAAGGTAGACAATTTTCAGATTTCCTAAAGATTCTCAAATAACAAAATTATGGCTTGAGTTCATGCAACAAACAAATTGTGAGCCAAAATATTTTAATTTTTTGTGTTCACGTCATTTTAAAGCAGATTGTTTTGATCGAACCTCAAAACCAAGAATAAGACTTCTACCAACAGCTGTTCCAACAATAAAATTCTTTACTAACTATATCATGTGCCGTTTTTTTTTCGTATATTAGAAAGTTAATTGTATGAATGTGATGCACCCTATATAATTTATTAGTTATTAAGTTAAAGTTATTTACAAAATGTAGCATATCGCATGCCTCAAGATAATGCCTTAGGTCTTATCTTGTTTAATTTTATTTTAAATAATTTGTCGTTTAAATACAGATCGAAGTATTGTAAGTTTTTCAGATGACACAGTTATTCTGTAAAATGCAGAGACCTGGAATTGATTAAAATTATTAATAGAAACAGATCTTATAAAAATTTTCGAATGGTTTAATTATAAACACTTATAAACCTTTGATAAAACTTATGTTGTTCCATTATACAGTTACAAAAAGATGGTTCAGTAGTTTCATATAAGTATTACAAATGATATTAAATACCTTACAGTACAAATTGTCTCTCATCATAACTAGACTAAGCATACAAATAATGCGTTGAATATACATTTAAAAATAATCTAATTTGCACTCATAGAACCATTATTACGTTATAGGATCCTTTCTTGGAAAGGTGTTTTACCTGCTTATACAAAATTGCCCTGCAAAAAATATTACTAACAATATTATGTAATAAAAGGATCAGAACTTCTCTTCGATATTAGGTTTATATGTACTCCAACGAAAACATCTAATAGAGAAATATCACAGCGGTGTTGAACCTAAATATAAGTACAAGATATTTAATGTTTTTTAACGCATATCGACAAAACATATTTATTTTTCAAACCTTAATAATTTGTAAAATCTAGATTAATAAAGATATTGTCATAATAAAGACATAAAAAAGTAAATATTTTTTTTTTTAATTCATTTTGCTTTGATTTTTTAAATGAAATCCCTCTATAAATTATCCCAAAAATATTTTCCTTTATTTATCCCACCCAACATGCAATAGTTAATAAAAAAAAATACAAACTTCTCGCAAGAAAATAGCAATTCGTTAAATTGAGAGAAATCGGTAAATTTAGAAAATATGCAAATGGGAATTTATTATTTTCTTTTCTACGCCCCTTTATGACAATACGTCACTGGTAGACCGGAAACACTTGTTGCCATATTCGTCTAGTTCACAGTCAAAATTAGATACCATCGCGATTCCAAGGTCGTTTAGGATTCCTCCTTCCTGACTATATATATTCTAAGGGTCAGACAGATCGATGAACAAATTAATCGAAACCGTCAAGTTCTAATTTTTAAAATTCATAATCTCAGAGTAAGTAAGTAGTAAAGAGAGGACAGTAAAGAATGTTTGTGTAGCCATGATAATATGGTTGAGAATCACATACAAAATTCTAATTAGAGAGAAATAGATTAATATCTCTATCTCTTCGTTTGTATTTGTCAGTTTTACAAAATTTTTCTCAGACAATTATTCCAGTGTCAAATTCAAATTTGTTCGTGTTGTGGTATTAAAAGTAATTGTAGTTTGTTGTGTTAATTTTACAATTAGTAAAAATGACTAAAACTTGTTTTTTATGTGGATTAAAATCTATAAGAGGAAAAGAGGTTACGTTTAACTTGTAAGTATTGCGGTATTTGGCATAGGCGTCGCAGAAGCGAAAAAAAAAATAAATTAATATATTATGAGTATTAAAAAATAAAACTGGTATTTTATTTCTAGTCTTCCAAAAGATGCAATTAAAAGAAATTTATGGTTAGAGACACTTGAGTGGAATGAAACATTAGAAGTTGGAAGAAGGCATTTTTCAGAGGACTGCTTTGCTGAACAAGTGGGTTCTCCTTGTACACGTTTGAAACCTGATGCAGTACCAAATATATTGTAGGTTGAAATTTCTTAATATATCAAGCATTTTTAAAAATTGTATTATAACTTTTTAGGAACCCTGACATAACTCAAACAAAGCGGGAAGAAGACCGTAGTTATGAATCTATGTCACCTCTAAAAAAAACTAGAAGGTATTTTTTTAGTAAATTTTGTGAACCATTAATGTTTGAATATTTTTAGGGTAGAAATTTCTTCAGATACTGAATTATTTGAATATGGGCCAAGTACTTCTTCATGGTTAAATTCGCCAACAAATAAACAAAGTTATAGTTTAAAGAAAAGTACCTCACAAACTTCAGTATTAAGTTCAAGGTCTGACTGTGAAACACCACAAGCCCATCGATAAAATCTGAGTCGCCATTAATTAAGAAGTAAGTTAAACATTGAATTTGATTTGTGTACTTATATTGAATTATATTCATATACTTTATTTCAGAAAAAAGAAAGTTTTCAGATATTTGGGTAACTTTACACTGAAGTCTCTAGAAAAACGAACAATACGAAAACGTTTTTTATTTGGTTTCCAACAATACTGTTTCAAATTTACGAAGCAAAAATAAATCATTACAGACACAAGTAAGAAGGTTTATATTGTTAAATAAACTTTCCAAATATTTTGTTGTTTTATTATTTTATTAGGTATGTTTTCATGTTCAAATTAAAAACTATTATGTATTTCTGCAGTTTTACCATTGCATAGGTTTCAATAAGTATAGGTATAGATACTTTGTAAAATCTTAAATCCTCACTGTAACTTTAAATATTCAGTAAAGAAATATTTTTATTATTATTGTTATAATAACAAAGCTCAACTTTTTTTTTATGTTATTATATACTGTTTTTTAGGATCCCCTATTATGTTGTTCCTTTTATGGAACTCACTGTATATTTGTACATGGTCTAAAATATAAACTGTCAACAGCAATAAAACATTAAAAATATTTATTTAATTTTTATGATAAAACTAGATAATTTATATTTTAAACGAGGTTTAATCTAAATACTTTTTTATGTAAAATATGCAAATATAATTACATATTGGTTTATTTTTTTATTAGGTATATTTTGTTTTCATGTTTAAAATAAAAACTATTAGTTCTTCAGATTTACCATTGCTCAGGTTTTAATAAGTATAGATATAGATACTTTTTAAAATCTCAAATCCTCATTGTAAATTTAAATAAATATTTAATAAAGTAATATTTTTATTATTAATATTATATTCATAACAAAAAAGTCATATTTTGTTTTCACTTCATTAAAAATGCACCTACCTACCTACCTTTTAAAACATTTTATTTTATATTCTACTTGGTCAACATTTTCGCATTTAAAATGACCCAGCGAAATTGTTTTACGGTACACTACTGCTGAGAATTCTAAAACGAGTGAGAAAGCCTTCATTAGAAAAAGAGAAACTGATTATATGATAGCGACATTAATATTGTATAACTTTATGCAGTGGTGGCCTATCTGCTATTATATTATCTAAGTTCATAATCATCACTCTAAAACATTACAAGTTCAGCTACCAGCACCAGTTTTTCCATACGGACTTTATAATCTGTTTTAAAAATTCTGAAGTAATTTTTAGATTGGTGTATTAAGTTTTGTTTTTAGTAATACATTTCTTTATTCATATTTTTGATCAAAAAATAGTATAAATATGGGCCATAGTTGAGGTTTGACATTATGTCAAGTTTTAAAACACTTACCTCACCCATATCCTGATAATAAATAGTGGAAGATTCTCTTTTGTGTATGCAAGTGTAACAACAGCCGACAAAGGGAAAATGACTATTCACTAGGCACTTTCGACTACCAAAGTCAGACAAAATTTCTCGACCGTTATGACTGATCAGCTGATTAGTAATGACTGGTCATCTTGGTAAGTTTTCTTTTTCACTAGACGCTTTTGACCGGTCCGACCATTCACATCGTACCCTTTATTTGAAGCTAGTCAAATGTTAATGTCAGAACCCGCCGTTATTATAAATTATGAAGACTAGAGATAAGATGGCGAAACGGCAGTCTCAAAATACGGTCCCAAAAAACGCATGCTAATTGAGCTTCTATAATTGATTAATTATAAGACAGTGCTGATGTGTTTATAAATTATAAATAATTCTTTTGTTTCTGGAGATCAAGTTATCGTTGGTATACCCCGTATATATATCATTGAAATAAACCAATCTCAAATTTGTTTCTTCTAATTAACTAACCTGCATGTTCCGTTCTAAGAACACGTCCGTTCGTGCCGGATGACGTCAAGGGTATGATTTCAAACACCAACATTATAATTAACAATGGGGCACAAGATGCAAGTGAGCGTTGTAGGTATTTATAAACAGCGGCCATATTGGTTCGGTACAGCTGACGCAAGGATACAAGTGTTCCAGTAGCTTCTCAACATATATATCTACATTTAATTTTGTTTGTACTTTGGCAAAATGTTGTGATGATTTATTATTTTGGACCTGAAATAAAGTAGGTTATTATTTCATATTGAAATTATTTCAGTATGGTAATTTTTAATGTTTATTTGGTATAAAAATACGTCTTTAATATGGTTGTGAAAATTACATTAAAGTTAAAATAATTATCTGATATAAACAGTGTGTTATTGCAAAATAGTTTCTATTAATAAAGCCTCTTTATTTTAACTTATGATCTATGTTATAAATCATTTATTCGCTTATTAAGTCTATTTGTTAATAAAATTTGTTATTTACTTATACATTCTTTAATTTTAAAATCTACAGTAACCAGATATAAAATAAATACCCAACATAACAATTAAATGTAATAAATCTGAGTAATTTAAAAATTATATCAATGACTATATAATATCCTTAAGAGCAAACATGACGGGCGCTCCTCCACCAAAAATCAATTTTACATTTGAGGCAGTTAAAAAAAATTGTAAAAAAAATGGTTCAGGCCAATCGTTGTAAAAATGAACCAAAAATTTCGCTAAACCGCAAAAAACTTATATTTTTAAAGAAAAACAACAAAAATTTCAACTTTTTAACAAATTTAATTTTTTGGCTCACAGTGCTGTTCCTAAAGTGGCGCAAGGAAACAGTAACAAGGCCTGTCTGTAGGGGTGTAGGAGTATTAGAGTACTAATACTCCTGCACTATGGAGTATTAGACTACTAATACAATCCATAACCTACATAGAACACTAGGCTAATGACCTTAGATGTTGAAGCCGTACACCAAATAAAAAAAAAAAAAAAAATTTTTTGGCTCTTTACCGGCCTTCTATAACAAATATCTTAACTATTTTCTAAATAACTTTTTTTCAAAAAGATTACCAATTTTAAACAGGACCGAAGATTAACATAGTTTTCATTTCGATACTAATTCTATTAAATCAATGATACCAGTGAATATGGCAACGCTGCTAGTCTTTGAAGCCCGTGGTTAAAAGGGTAGCTGCTGTTTAGTTAAATTTGTTAATTCCTGTGTCGAAAAATAGGTAGTTGTTTTTGAAGAGGTGCGAAATTATTGTGATCGTCTTAGTTTGTTGTTGAAGCGTTGTTAGGTTCTTGTTTAATTTAGTTTTTAGTTAATTTATGAAATGAAAAATTCTGGAAGGCAAAAATGCACAGCTGACAAATTTCTATTTTATTTGTTTGCTGCCAGAGTTAGTAAATCCTAGAAAAATACGACATGTGCCAATTAGGGAAAAGAGATTCTCAAGAATTTTGCACGCTTAAAAAAATGTGTAATATACAGGGTGTTTCTAAATACATGCGACAAAATTCAGGAACAGATTGCTCGTATGAAATTAAGATGGGTCTTTCCTATAACAAAATTTCCGTAGCCCATCCCTTTTCGAGATATCACCCTTAAAAAGTGGTGACTAAAATTGAGTTTTTATTTTTTTTCTAAAATTTCAGTAAAGCTAGAAACTTGAAATTCTGTAATCGCAAAGGACTAACCACGGGTATTTTTTCAATATTTCTGTTACATTATAGGGGGGTGAAATTAGCAACACTTACTTTATTTCATATCAAACCTTTTTTTCGAGATGAACTTTTATTAAATCCTTTATTTAATTTTTTTTATTCTTGAATTTTTTTCCCAAAACCTATAGCTTCAGAGAAAAAAAAATTAACACCCTAATTTATTATTATTTTTTTTTAATAAATTGAGTTGAAAATAGTGTAACGGGCTTGTAACTATCGTATCGTACACTCTGTCATTATTCGTTTCTTGCAATAATTTACACCAGTTTACACCAGAAGATAGCACTTAACGAAGCGTTTTAGCCACTAATTTTGACGAATTTTAAGAAATCATTAACAAGACATTAGGGGCTTAAATTTGGGGATTATATTAAGAATAGTGCTGTCGAGGAATGCATTTATTTTCAATATGATATTTCAAAATTAAAGCCCGTTTAGTTTTTTTGGGAAACATTTTCTAATGATGTGGAGGGTTTTCTGGATCTGTAATTTGGGTTGGCCTGAGTAAAGAATATTAATCGAAAAACAACATCACACGATCTGCTTACTTTCCTTTGTTGTGGACACCACAATCTGTAACCGTTTGGTCAATAACCAAATATGATCAACCGTAACACGTTCGTGCGATCTGGACATTTGATACAAGGACGCATGATCGTGAATGAGACTAAAAAGCGTTTGTTCATAATATTTTTTTATTTTATAATAATTATAATAATAATAATAACAATAATAATAACGGGGTGGGTGGCTCAGTGGTAGAGTCTCTGCCTGTGGATCCAAGGGTCCCAGGTTCGAATCCCACCGTTGGCTGGAATTTTTTCATTTAATTTAATTATTTAAAATTAATTCTGATGCCTTGGTAGGATTCCCCACCCGACCATTCACTGTTGGGTTCTAATTAACAGTGCTGTTCCTACAGTGGCGCTGGAAAACAGTAACAAAGCCTACACAGAACACAAGGCGAAATAAACTTAGCAGTTGAAGCCGATGACACAAAAAAAAATAATAATATTAATAATTATTTATATTTACTGAAATATATTATTTAAATACATTAATAAGATGAATACATTTTCTTTTTATTATACCTATAAATATACAGTAATCATTCAATGTTTACTTTAAGATAGCAAATAAAGATTAAAACACCCACAAAAGAAAGGCCTGAGCGTGGGCAATATTTTCATTTCCATTATTATCTATAAGTTTAAATTATATATTTCATTTTAAATTAATTTAAACAAAGTAACATGGGACAGTAATTAATAAAGTGTAAAGTAAGTAATATAAAAAATAAAACATAAAATAATATTTACAGGTATCAGCAAATTTAGGAACATTTTCAATTTTTTTTTTTTGAGAGACTTAAAAGATTTTCTGAATATAACAAGCAATATTTGAATTTAAAAATTGTTGTACTTTGATGATGGGTATTTGTAAAATCCAGTGACTAATTTTATTTTTGAAGAGATTATAGGAATTTATTTTTTTGAATTCAGAAGGAATATCATTATACATATAATTTAGGCCCTAGGTAGGTGAAGCATTTTTGTCCTATTCTTTTCTCTGTGCGAGGCACAGCAACTGCATCAGTTTTGTGTCTCGTGCTATACGGGTGAATGATAGGTTTCTGTTTATTTTTATTTTTATTTTCATATAATATTGTTTTGGCATATAGCTGATACATGTTAAATATTTGGGTATTATGGTATTCGCTCCGTGCGAAGTCATGGAAAGGGAAGCGAAAGCGATACTAGCGCTAGCTGCGGATAATTCGTGCATTTTAGGGCGATATTTTGTCATTTTGGCATATCAAATACACGTATACATTTTACTTTTTTTCAAAAAAAGTAGGTAAAAACAATATAATAAGCAACCTGAGTTGCTGTGTTGAAAATTGCATAAATACAAGAAGAAAAAAAAAAAACAGTGAAACTTATATAAAAAATTTCGGTAGCAAAGTGGAAATTAAATCAAAGAAATAAATGGATAGGTGTACAATAAGAAGAAAAATTATCTTTATTTTTGTAATATTAACAGTAATGCTGTAAATAGTAGACATTAGAAACTTGAAAGGTTTTAAATAAACAATAAATTATCATTTTACGATGTTCTTTAATATCCCTTTATTCTTAAATGTTCATTCAGCAAGGACTAGATTTCAACATTTCTGCCTTCGATTATTATATGTGGATGGAATGAAATTTTGTTACTTACTGATGGGAAACCAGTTTTAATCATTCATTTTATGTTTTCTTTCGAACAAAAATGAAAATATATATAACGATCCATTTTTATACATTTTAACTTCACGCTATTATTAAATAGTATATTTTTATTTTGACAGAATAGGCTAATTCTTCAATGACAACTTATTGGACTTGTGCAACTTCTTATACATTTTCAAGTAAATACTGTTGCCCGCCTATATTTTATTATTGATTTTTATTGATTATACATAATTTTCTTTAATTTAAGTGGTAAAAATATATAATAATAATAATAATAAAAAAAAATTAATGTTTTACTAGTTTTAAAAATCCATATACTTTTATTAAAACTAACATATATACTTTTTATTTACGAATTGTATTAAAAATTGTGATTGTCAGTATACGCAAAAATAGTCCATTAATACCAAAACTAATTGGCGCTTCTGTAGCGCACGGAGCGAATAGTGATTCTGATTGGTAAGTACGAGGTTGTTTGTACATATATTTTAAAATAGATTTTTGAATTTTTTTAAGGTTTTTCACGACCGTTATTCCAGCGGAGCCCCATGCAATAAGTCCGTAGTACAGATGAGATTCTACAAGTGAATAGTACAGTATTTTAAGGTACTGAATGTTTTAAAAGTTTAACAAATTTTTAAATTTATATACCGTAAAACGTAATTTTCTTATAACATAATTCACTTGGATGTCCCATTTTAAATGAGAGTAGATGTATATTCCCAAGTATTTAATATTTTTTACAGCTTGTATTTCTATTGATTGTTTACTATTAACAGAAATTTTAAGATTATGATATGCTGGCAAGTTGTTAGTATATGATGTGAAAGGTATGTAAAATGTTTTCTCGTAATTTATTGTAAGAGCTTTATAGTGAAAAAAGTTGACAATGGTTTTGAAATCAGCTTCAACTGTACTTTTGAGTGACTCCCAGTTTTGATTTTGGTAAAATATTGCAGTATCTTCTGCAAAACTGACAATTTAACATTTTATTTGTTGTTCGTATAAATAATTTATGTATATGTTACGGTTAAAGTGTTTACTTGGCTAGTTTATAGACTAGATGGATAGGATACAAACTATCCAAATGTCCTGCTATTTTAATGGAAAATTATATTTCTACTAAAATAGCTATTAATATTGGTTGGTTTGTATACTAACCAGCTAGTTTACAAACTACACAATATTTATCGCCGAAGTACAAACCACAAGAAAAGTACACAAACTAACCGGTATTTTTGGCTAGTTTACAAACTATCCAGAGTAT